ATAAATTTAATATTATTTATCAAATTTAATATTTTTTACTTTATATTGTTCTTTCATATGTTTTTAATGTGCGCGTGTGTTTGTGAGTAACTTTTCGGTTTGTTCAGAAATATATAAAATTAAGTATAGAACTTTTTAGGTCATGTCTTATTTATATCAATTAATTTTACATTTTTATATTATTTTATATATAATTATAATCTTCTTATTTATACTCAAATATATATTTTTTTTATTTCGTACATTTTTTTTAAAACCATTTTATTGTAATAACACATATAAATAAATAAATGACTAATGATAATATATGAATATAATTTTTTTCTATTAAAAATATATTAAACACGAACCTTTTAGTTCCTATAATTTTTTTTTTCAGAAATCACTTATTATTTTATCTCAAGATTACCTATTAATTTAACAATTGATTTACATTTCTTACATATTAAGTATTATATAATTAAAATAGTTCTTGTTTTATATGTTCAATATGATACTTATATATTATATTAAAAAAACTAATATAGTAAATAAAAAAGTTATTTAGAATTAGAGTAATAAAGATTTTTTTTCTAATCTACATGGATAAATGTACAAATTATTATTGTCTTATCACCTCAAATTAACACATAAAATTAATAAGAACAAAAAATTAACAAGCGTTTAATAACTCAGTTCAATTTACATCGATAAGTATATTTTTAGAAGGTTTATATTTAGTTATATTAGTTATATTATTTTTGTTTATTAGTTTATTTTATATTTATTAGTACGTGTCACAACTTAGTTATTATTCATATTATTTCTTATATTTCATATTTTTTTAAAATTTTATCTCTTTCTTTCACATGTTCTTAACTGTAGATTTGTCAAAAAAGACATAATATAAAGTATAGAATTTTTTCGATCATCTGTCTCATTATATATCAAATATTTGTATATCCTATATCATATTATATTTAATTACAATTTTTTAATTAATATTTTAATTAAATATTTAGATTTCATAAATTCATTAATAATATTGTCGAGTCAACTTTTGTTCATAAAATTTTTAAAAATATATTATTTTCATTGATTTGCTTATGTTGAATTGAGAAAAGTTATGTTTTTTTTTTTTAATTGTAACTGTATTGATGTGTTAAACATGTACTACAGATGAGTAAGATGACAAATTATGAAAAATATAATTTATAAATTATAATGACATTATGTTATTTTAATGGTATACTTTTTCTATTAACCAAATAAAGCCTCAAGTATGAAATTATTTTTTATCCACCACTGCAGGTAGAACTTCCATTGAAATTTTTACAATTCCAGTGACATTTTTCCAACTGTTGAAATATGACCCGAATTTTTTTTTTTTAACAAAAATTCACGCAATAATAAATAATGATAATTGAAATAATCTATTACACAAGAATAAATAATGTAATTTGATCTCTGTTGAAATAGTCAATGCAATTTTACAATGACAGATATACAAACAAAATATCATTTAGAAATTCCAGTTAATGTCTTACCGTGATGTCCTTAGAAAAAAAAAAGTTAATGTCTTACCGTTGGATTTTTCATTGCAATGTACCATTTTTTTATTCCTTTATATATTATAACTTTTATTAGGAGTTTTTGTTATTAATTAATTGTATTTATAATTTTTATATTAAAAATATATTAAACAAGTGAACTTAATAATCCATATAATTTTTGTAGAAATTTCTCATTATTTTATCACAAAATTATCTATTAATTTATCTATTGAATTACATTTCTTGCACTTACATATTACATAACGAAAATTATTATTGCATATATATAAAATATGCCATAAACATATTATATTAAAAAACTAATAGCAAATAAAATGTTATTTAAAATCCAAATAATTAATTTTCTAAGAAAAATAAATTTCTAACCTTCATGGATAAAAGTATAAATAACTGATGTCTATCATCTAAAATTTATATACGTAACTAATAAGCGCGAAAAATTCAACAAATTTTAAAAGTTCTATAATTACTTTTACTAATTATAATATTTTTATTTATTACTTTA